CCAAGAATGTTATTTTTGTTTCAAACACTGCAAATTTTGGACAAAATGGACTGTTTCAAGAAGTGGCAGAGAGATATCTCCAGATTTGTCTGGCAGGGCAAGAAGCCTCGTATAAAATTTAAGATATTAACTGATGCTAAAGAAAGAGGTGGATTTGCCCTGCCAGACTTAAAACTTTATTATGAATCAGCCGCTTTTTGTTGGCTGAGAGAATGGATGCTTCTTGAAAACACAGATGTTTTGGATTTGGAAGGTTTCAATAATGTATTTGGTTGGCATGCATATTTGTGGTATGATAAGGTCAAAGCACACAAAGCGTTTAAAAACCATATTGTAAGAAAAGCACTGTTTAATGTCTGGATAAGATATAAGGATTTGTTAGAAAATAAAACCCCAAGATGGCTGTCACCAATGGAAGCAAAGGCTTTGAAAAAACTCAATATGGAGGCCAAATGGCCGAAGTATTGGGAAATTTTAGAACAAGAGGGTGACAGATTAAAGCTACAGAGCTTTGAAAAATTAAAAAACAGAGTACGAGATTGGCTCCATTATTATCAAATAATGGAGGCATATAATTTGGATAAAAAACTAGGTTTTCAGGTGGAAAAATCAAAGCTGGAAACAGAATTGCTAGAACCTAAAGTTAAGAATTTGTCAAGAATGTATAACTTGCTGTTGAAATGGAATACTCAAGATGAAACGGTGAAATCCGCTATGATTAAATGGGCACAAGATGTTGGACATAATATTATGATGGCTGACTGGGAACAGTTATGGACCACTGGTATGAAGTTTACGGCATGCAATGCCTTAAAAGAGAACTTAATGAAAATGATCTACAGGTGGTACATAACACCAGTCAAGCTTGCAAAAATTTATCATTTGCCCGATAATAAATGTTGGAAATGTAATGAAACTGAAGGCACATTCTTTCACCTTTGGTGGATGTGCCCAAAGATTAAGGCATTCTGGGAGATGATCTATAATGAAATGAAAAAGGTATTTAAATATACCTTTCTAAAGAAACCAGAGGCCTTTCTCCTGGGCATGGTCGGCCAATTGGTGCCAAAGAAGGATAGAATTTTTTTCATGTATGCCACAACAGCAGCAAGAATACTTATCGCAAAGCACTGGAAGACACAAGATCTACCTACCAGGGAAGAATGGCAGATGAAGCTGATGGACTACATGGAGTTGGCGGAAATGACTGGCAGAATCCGAGACCAGGGAGAAGAGTCGGTGGAAGAAGATTGGAAAAAATTTAAAGTTTATTTACAGAAATATTGTAAAATTAATGAATGTTAGAAGGATGCTGGAATGAAGTTATATGGCTTTAGCAGAAATGTTATAAAGAATTAAGTAAAAATAGATTGTTAATGGGTTACAGTGGAAATTTAAGGTTAATTGTGTTAAGATAAATTATAGAACAAAAATTAAGAAAGATGGAAAGGATTTGCTGAAATAGCTAATTGAACAAGAATACAAAAAAGGGAGGTGTGAGGAGGTCAATGACACAAGTAAATGAAAGGTAGAGATATAGAGATATTGGATGTGTTTTTTAAATGTTTTTGCTTTTTTGTTGTTGTTCTGTTGTATTGTTGTTGTTTTTTTGTTTTTTTTCTTTATTTTTGATGTATTGTGAACTTTTTATTGTTTCTTTCTTCTTTTTTCTGTAACCATTAAACTTTTAATAAATATCTTTAAAAAAACACAAAACCTAGAAATAGTACCTCAGGTTAAGAACTTTGCTTCAAGACGAGAACAGAAATCGTGCTCCGGCGGCGCAGCAGCAGCGGGAGACTCCATTAGCTAAAGTGGTGCTTCAGGTTAAGAACAGTTTCAGGTTAAGAACAGACCTCCAGAATGAATTAAGTTCTTAACCCGAGGTACCATTCTACTTTCTTTTTCTCTCTGAGTCAGTCACTGTTTACAATAACAGTGCTTCTGGCCCCATGAGCTGTTAGCAGAGTTAACTTGAGTAACACAGAGGGAGTCAGGAGAGAAAAGAAACTAACCATACTTTACTGGGCAAACTGAACAGGAATGGTACATAACTTGAAGAGAAACTTATTTACAGGCCTAGTTGAGAGAAGGGAGACCTATTCCACCACAAGTCCTGAGATGAACCTCCTTCAGACCTAATTTTCCTTCCTACTCCTTCACCTGTGGAAAACATCAACCGGTTTCTAGGCAACCCACACCTCTTTTATAATTGCCAGCAGAAATTGCCTTCCTGAAGCCTATCATTCCCCATAATCAGAGGAGGTACCATAGAATGGTGGCACCCTATGCGTGTTTCTTAAGAAGTCCTACTATAATCAGGAGTAGTAACTCTCCACAGGTGTGTATAGGATTGTGGATGGATGTTTTATTTGGGCAAAGACGGTTGCATGGGGGATGGGGAGCTCCAGCCCTTTCTATGCCTTAAGCAGGTATCCCCCCCCCCCCCCGCAACTGAGTTGCCTCCTGGTGCCACTTCTCCCCTCTCCTTCAGCTTCTACTTAGAGCCCCCAGAAAGGGATGAAGGACAATATTTTTCTCAAGTCTGCCTTGATACTGCGTTGCAAAACAATACCTGCATACCCTCCAACATGTCAAGGCGAAAAACCAGGATGTGTGTCTTCCAGGGCCACTATTTGATTCTGGAGGCAGTTGACCTGGTTTACGTTATTGAATAAGCCCAATGACATAGAAGGGGTTGCATTTTGTTATAATTGTGCGATTGTTAGCCTTGAACGTCACTTGTTAGAAGAACGGGTCATGGGTTTAACTTAATATCTTAATAACTCTGTTTTAAGTATTTCTATTGGATCAGGGTCCTCCTGTGTGATGGATATGTATGTATATTTTACTGAGTGAAAGATTCTGAGTTCAGGGCAGGGAGGGAGTGTGTGTGTATATGAACCTAATAGTGTTTAGCTTATCTTTTAGTTTTCTTATATGAACTATAGCTGACTCTTCCTCATCCTTTATTATTTATGAAGTGAACTGAATAGCGCTAAGAGGACTTTGAATTTAATTTAATTGGAAGTATAATTGCTCATATACCTCCAGGGCTCTGCCTCCTTTCTTTTAGCAAATGTTTTGTGCCACTGGGGAAGTGGTAATTCTGTATTGATTTGTTTTGGATGTTTGTATGTGATGCCAATAGAAGGTTTGATGATGATGATGAAGATGATAACTTCAGTTGGAAGGAAGGATGAAAGGAGTCTGTGAACTGCCAAGGAACTGATAAGGTTCTTTATTGAGTCATCTGCAGTTCGACAGATGGTTCTTCCCAGGCTAAGAAGGGAAATGGTGACAACAGGTTATTAACTGGGACAGAGTGACTTTTGCAACCATTGTTAAAGTTGCAAACAACAAAGCATGGGATGGAGCAATGAAGAAATTTCTGGAACAACAATGGGATATCAGCTCTGCCCAAGGCATGATGGATAACAGCAACAACCACGAGAAAGAAAGATATAACATCTTACAAGGGCAGGAAGAAACTCCATGGACAGAACAATTGCCACACACAGGAAGAACAAGAATATAGTTTGAGTTCCTCACTTGTAGTTTTATAAATAATTTAATGTGCCGACATGAATAGTAGTTATTAATACTGCAGTTGTTGTATAAGAGATTACTATTATGACTGGAATGTAATTGAAATTAATAAGATTTTGGAATGCAGAAATAAAGAAAATAATCAAACCATAAAATCTAGCATGTGGAAGGCCACTTCATCTAAATTATATAATTTGGTATTTGGTATTATTAATAACTGAATTATAAATCGGTATTGTTATAATGAGGCTATTATTGGACTGTAATTGAAAACTAATTAAAAAATTATTACAATGTCCAGGTGTTATGCTCAAATTTCCCTTAACATAAACACTGTTGGGACTGGCACTGAGTGATCAGGAAAGGGATCTTGATGTTCAGTGGGTAGAGCATGAGACTCAAGCCCCACGTTGGGTGAATGTTTCCTGCATTGCTGGGGGTGGACTAAATTATCCTCGTAGTCCCATGCAGCTCTACAAGTCTGCAGTTCTTTGGTGGACAACTCAATGAAAATGTTGAGAAAATATGCTGCAGCTGTGAAAAAAAAATAATGATTTCCATTCTAGGAATCATTAGGGAAGAGATCAAACCTGAAATTGATCATAATTCTGTACAAATCTAGAGGAATTCTGTACCTGTTGGTCACTGACCACACTTCAAACACAATATTGCAGAGCTGAAAAAGGTACAAAAAAAGCTAGGAGACATGAGAGATGTATATAAATTATGGGTGGTGTGGTGCCACCCATAATTTATATACTTTAATTTATATATTTTTTATTTTTTATTTATATGTTTCAAAGGGAATTCGTCAAGTCATGGAAGATAAGGATGTCAATGGCTTCTAGTCATAGGGCAGGATGCTGGACTTGATAGATCTTTGGTCTCATTCAGCAGGACTCTCCTTATCTTCTTACAGCCATAGTAGTTACTGGGGATTCCCTCCCCCCCCCCCCCATATGATACAGGTCTTGAAGAATGCTGAACAGGCAAAGTAAAAGGAGACTGGAGTACCACAACTTCAGGGGGTGGGAAGTACTTGCTGCCAAGTATCATTGCAAAACATTTCCCTCTCCGTATTAAAAGCCAGGTTTGAATCGTGTAATCTGGAGATAGGGTGCTACAATTTTGCAACCCACTTTCCCCATGGTGCAAGTGGGACAGAGCACACACTGGCTCCAGCTTGGCTTTACCCTTGAAATGATGAGTGGGAAGGTGCGTTGTGACTGGAAACCAATGTAGAATAACTTGCACATTTCCTCCTCTGCAAAACTGGAATCAATCTGCATAAATGCCATCCTGGCCTCTCCCTGCTACGCAACTTGTGTAAGTACTGGAAAAACTCGTTGTGGCATTCATAGAGAGAACAGCTCTAGATAAAAGCTTTGGTAGAGACCACCAAACCTTGTGGAGCTTTTCTGCTGGGAGCAGCTGTGATCTGAAGCGGGACAATGGCTGCCAGCTGGACAAAAGGCAGATACCTCTTTCAAGGCAACTATACCTGCTTGACCATGTATGCTGCGCTCTCTCTTCTCCTGGCAGCCTGCCTGCCCTCTGGATGGGCGCAGACGGCCCTGGATGACTACATAAAGCAGGATGACCCTCACTACAACTACACTGTCACAAAGAAGGAAGACAGGCCTGGCGTCACCCTCTACACCCTCAACATGACCTCCCTGAAGTGGCTGAATGGTGAGCGGCATTTTTGAAATATAGAGGAAGGCATTTCCTCAGTGCCCTTTTCCTTTGAGGAGGAAGAGAGTGAGAGAGCAGGGAGCCTAACCTGGAGAAGTGGCTGCTGGGTGGGTGTAAGGAAACATGAAGAGCAGTAGGTACTAGTCAGGTCTCCTGTGGCTGACTATGAAAGGGAGAAAGGCCACTGCCACTTCCCAACCTGAAACAATCCCAAAGCCGAAAGCAAGAAATGCAAAGTACCATATTTTTCCGTGTACAAGATGATGTCCTCCTAAAATTGGGGGTTATATAGTGGTGAAAAAATTGGGGGTTGTCTTATACAGGGATTTATATGGTAGATCCCCAGATATCAATTCGGCCTTTGAAATTCCAATAATGTCTAGAAAAATCCGGACGTATGGCAGCCCTACCCCAATAAATACATTTTTTTGTAAACAATGGTTGATTGGATAATTGCACTGTAACATTTGGATGTGTGCAAATTTCAAAGGATGCCTGTGTTTTGGTTCCCTTAATGTTTCAGAGGAAAATAATTTGAAAGATTTGCCTTTAAATGGCACCAGAATTGAATTTCTCCCCCACCCCTGGTGCTGACAGAAGTTAGCAGCACCTGGAATGGGAAGATGTTGGCTTAATTCAGGGTTGGGAAACCTGTGGCCCAGCAGATGTTGCTGAATTCTCATCAACCCTGACCGGTGGCTGGTTTGGGCTTGTGGGAGCTGGAGTTCAACAGCATCTGGAGAGCTACAAGTTCTCCATCACTACCCTAAGTGATTTGATCTGTGTCAAGGAGAGTGCAGTGCCCTTCCTTTCACTTCCTAAACGCCAGCTCTTTCTTACCCTTAAGGGACGCGGGTGGTGCTGTGGGTTAAACCACAGAGCCTAGGACTTGCCGATCAGAAGTTCAGCAGTTTGAATCCCCGCGATGGGGTGAGTTTCCATTGCTGGGTCCCAGCTCCTGCCAACCTAGCAGTTCAAAAGCATGTCAGAGTGCAAGTAGATAAATAGGTACCACTCCGGCAGGAAGGTAAACGGCGTTTCCGTGCACTGCTCTGGTTCGCCAGAAGAGGCTTAGTCATGCTGGCCACATGACCCGGAAGCTGTACGCCAGCTCCCTCGGCCAATAAAGCGAGATGAGCACCGCAACCCCAGAATCGGCCACAACTGGACCTAATGGTCAGGGGTCCCTTTACCTTTACCTTCTTACCCTCAGGTAGGTAGCTGTGTTGGTCTGACACAGAAGAAATATATATATATATATAAATAAAAAATTGCCCAGCAGTGTCTTAGAGACCAACTAAGTTTGTTCTTGGTATAAGCTTTCGTGTCTTTCTACTTTGTTACTTTTCTACTACTAGATAAATATTCATTATGACTCCTGGGGGGGAATGTATTTCGAAGGGAGAATGGAAGACAAATGCCCTGATGAATAAATTCTGTGTATCTCTTTTCAGAGTCTGAAGTGGATAGACCAATTTGGTGGCATGAGCTGTTCATTGCTGTGTCAAAGGAACAAAAACTGAAGGACTCATGTTTGCTGATCATTGGGAATGGAAGAAATGATGCATATAATACTATCATAGATTTTAGCGTTGGTGATATCATCAATCTAGCAAAATCCACTGGGTCGTAAGTAATTGGTGGGATCTCTGAGCAATGAATATGGCACCAGCTCTGCTCTGTTAAAACTGCTAAGGGGATTAGCAGCCCTGCAAAGAACTGTGAGGTAGACATACTTGATGGAGTGAGGTCCTGCAGAAAATACTTTTCCTGTTGGGGAATGAGGGTTGGAATTAGGGTTGCACATCGTATTTGGACAATCCTTGAGCTGAAGTGGAATACCTGGAAGGATTTGGGGCTTGTCTGAAGTAAGGCAAGATTTGTATGAGGCAGCTCAAATAATTACGGGCTGCTAAGTTTTTTTATGAAAGATTTATCACTGACTGGATATCAAAAGAGACACACAGCCAGGAAGTCTCACCTAAACAATTTCATTCTAAACCACTGCCCTGGCAATTCAGACATAAAACAACAAGCATGTAGTGAAAGGTAAATTAAATGTCTAGCCGTGTGGTCCCATCCAAGAGTGGGGGTGGGGGCAGGAAGATCTGCTTTGCCAGAGTGTTCCCTGTGAAATAGCACCAACCTTATCCTGACCATTGGATGAACAGTCTTCAACCCTGCTGACTTCAGGGGTCTGCTTCAGCAGTGCATTCCCTATAGGGGAAATGGCCTCACAAGCCAACTTGGACCCCTGGCAGGCCAAGACTTGCTCCAAAATATTCTCCCCAAGCCTTTATCTAAGCTTACCATATAAGGAATAACATCAGCATGGGGATTGGGTGGAGGGGGGAGTTCATCTGCTTCAGAAAAGTTGCACAGGCAGTAAAACTTTGCTTACTTATATAGTGGTGAAAGTTCCTAAATTATTGGTATAGGAACCCAAGGGTGGCTGCTGAGAACCATGTATTCTTAGCTGGGGCAACCAGCACAAACCTCTTCACACACTGAGCTCAGGAAGACTGCAGGAGAACAAAGCTTGATTTCTGAGTTCCTTCCAAGGTGAGGGGAAGTTGGCATAGCTAAGCCTGGAAGGACAGCTTGCTCTATGGTTTTAACCCCTTCATGCATTAATTAGACTTGAGCATGTTGGTTATACGAGACTGCTTATCTCACATATACCAGAGGTGTTGTATGTTTGCAACCTATTGGAGGAGAAAATCCTAAGTTCTAACTAATAAAGCAGCCAGAAACAAAAATGGCCTGATGACAATCTAATGCAACTCACTGTATTCAAGACAGTTTCTCTATGCTCCAGAGTCACATCTTAGTTCATCTTCCTTCCAGCCTCCCAATAAATATGTATAAAATGTTATATTGCTTGAATTCTCTCTTCGTCTTGATTTAATGATTGATCTTATTATTGCTCCAAAGCGGCCCAGAGCTGTTGACTGTGGTCTCTTTGGCATCATTGCCTGTAGATTGCAGAGGACATTTACTGCTGATGGCTAATACTTGTTTTGTCTCTGAAGCTGTGCAGCGCTTTTGGGGCAGATTCCCAACTACCCAATCACCTACAAGGTAAGTCTTCTAGGATCTTTGCCATGCTGGGAACTCCCCACACTCACTTTCACACTCATGTAGGAGTTAGGAGTCAATTGGGTGAGTGGAACTGGGGAAACAGGAGGGGGGGGAGTTCTTGGCTGTCACATTTTCTCACTGGAAACTTCCATTACAGATTCTCTTCCCCCAATTTCACTCTAATGAGGGAAGTGTTTACTTTCTCAGAGCAAAATCCAGCAGAAATCTGCACTGTGTCCAATAACCTTTCTTCATAAGCAAATCACATTACATAATCTGTGAAGAATTAACCATCTCTTTCATAGGAGTGGTTCAAAATACTAGAATTAAAATGTGGGAGCCAGGTCATGTGGTGCTCACCTCCTCAGAGAAGGTGAAGGTGAGAGCAGCAGGACCCTGCTCTCCAGATACTTACTGGAGCCATGGACTCCTACTGCATTCCCAGTGGGTTGTACATGGGGCAACTGTCCTTATCACTCCTTATCACTCGGAGCTGAAGAATCCTGGCCCGTGGATGTCAGAGCCTGATTGGATGAGGAAGTGAGCTGGGAGCCACCTGCTCAAGAGCCTCCCAGGAAGGGCTTGGACTGGCTGGATGAAGAAGAGTGGTGGGAACCTGCCTCCCAAGAGCTTCCCAGGGAGGACTCCGCAGATGGACGGGAAGTCAATGGAATAGAATTATTCATTGATGTAATGGATCTATTTTCCCCTTTCTCTTATTCTTCAGTTCTGTATTTTGTAGCTTTATAAATTCATAAATAAAAATTAAAAAACAGACAAAACAAACCTCATCCATCTATTTTTCTTCTAGAAAATCCCTATGAAAAGATGTAAGAGGAGCTCTGAAAATGCTGCAGTTGCTTGTTCGTGGTGGAAGTTCATGAACGACGAGAGTGAGCCTCCACACGTGCTGATTCAGTTTCCAATGGTCAAGGTGACTCTGGCTTTCTGTATTGGCTGGCAAGCACATGCTGCCATCATTCTGGGAAATGCTTTTTTTATTGTTTCCAGAATCCCCTGAATGCTGGCAGAGCTGCTGTAACATTTGCAAAGCACATATGCCTCATTTTTAATTTTTTTTTAATCTGCTTGCAAATCACAGAACCTAGAAGGAGGCAAGGTGAGGTGGCGGCCTCAGGCGACAGATCTGGATTCAAAGAGTAAATGACTTGTTGCCTCCTCCTATGTGGCTGCACCTTCTCCTCTGCAGGTGCACCCTGCCTCCTCTGCTACAGATGCACTGCTGCCACCACATTCATGCCCTATATAAACCGCCCCAGACTCTGCGTTCATCATCTGAGGCCATTCTTTATGTGTCCCCTCCATGTGAACGAGAACGGGTCTTTAGTGTAGTGGCTCCCTGTTTGTGGAATTCGCTCCTAAGTTAGACTACCCTGGAGCTTTCACTACATATATTTAGGTGCCAGGCAAAAGCTTTCCTCTATAACCATGCCTTTGACCTTTAACTATTTGGGACTTTTTAGAAGTCAGTGGGATGTTCTTAATTTATTTCTCTTTCCTCTTGCCTTTAAGGTAACTATGTGGGGTTTATTGTCTGTTGGTTGGTTTGTAAGTTGATCAGGGTTGTCCTGGGCAAGATAAAGCAACTAACCAATTTAGTACATAATAATAATAAACATTAAAGGCATGAAGACCTGACACCTTTTGAGGGCACTTTAACTCTGTCATACTAATAGAGGGATAGGGACATTGGTGGCGCTGTGGGTTAAACCACAGAGCCTAGGGCTTGCCGATCAGAAGGTTGGCAGTTCAAATCCCCGCGACGGGGTGAGCTCCCGTTGCTTGGTCCCTGCTCCTGCCAACCTAGCAGTTCGAAAGCATGAAGTGCAAGTAGATAAATAGGTACCGCTCCAGCGGGAAGGTAAACAGCGTTTCCGTGTGCTGCTCTGGTTCGCAAAGCGCTAGTCATGCTGGCCACATGACCCGAAGCTGTACGCCGGCTCCTCGGCCAATAAAGCGAGATGAGCGCCGCAACCCCAGAGTCGGTCACGACTGGACCTAACGGTCAGGGGTCCCTTTACCTTTATTAGAGGGATATAATTGAACCCAATCCAAGCATCTTCTTTGAACTCCAGAGACTATAATCCTCTTCTCTTGTGTGCAGGCAGCTGTGCGTGGCATGGACACTGTAACAGATTTAATGCTGAAAGAATTCGGTGGAAAGGTGAAAATCAAAAAGTTCACATTGACTGGTGTTTCCAAGGTAGGTTGGCTTTCCTGTACCCCAATATTAACCCTATGCATGCTCATCCCCATTTCATCTGTACTGTATATGCCATGTTCAGTCTCTCAAGTAGGAACTGCATACCTCTCCATCTTTATGTTTTGTCACTTTATTGCAGCGCGGCTGGACCACCTGGGTCACAGCAGCTTTGAAGAAGAGAGTTGTGTCATTTCTTCCAATTGTCTATGATCAGTTGAATTTCATTCAGGTGAGTATCCACTTTCTTTACAGCAATCAAAGAGAAGGCTGTTCATAGGATGGTGCACTAGCTGTGTATATGGCTGTGTATGAGTCTGTTTCAGAGGTGCCAGCTTGCACCAAAGGTTGAGGGGGCCCGATATTGTGCATATGTGTGATGTTGCACATGCAACACACACTTTTGATGTCATGTGCACAATGTAATGCAATGGCTTGGCTTTCAGTGGCTGATGGATCCTCTTAACATTGAGGAGGCCCCAAACAGCTCTGCCCCCTGAGCTGGCACTCCTGGTCTTCGTCACAGTTCATTCATAGTACAGTACTCAGGATAAATAAGAATACATTGACCATTTGCAGGAAGGCTACAAGTGTGAGAGCCAGTGAAACTTCTGAGGAAGGCCACTCCACAGCCTCAGCACCACTGCTGCAAAGACCTTGTCCTGTGTCCTAATCAGCCATGCTTTTGAAGGCAAGGGACAGTGAGGAATCCCTCCAATGATTGTAAGAGGGGCAGACTCATGGGGAGCAGAGTCTTTCAAATATCCTGACCCCAAATGTTGATTCATTAACTCAGCTGTTGGGTTATGGGGCTGGGGAGGGACAAAGCTTTGCAAGCATATTTCTCTTCCCCAAATCCTGGCAATTATGCAAGGTGAACTGGATGATTTCATGGAGTAATAGAAATTGTATTTTGAATGTTTCACTTATTGTTTAGAACTACTTTTTTATACTGTAGTTATGCATTTTTTTCATGCTGTAAGCCACCTTGAGCATGGTTTGAACTGTGGAAAATTAGCATACAAATAAAATAATGCATGTATGTACGTATGTAATCCAAAAATATTAAGGTTAAGCAAAAAATATGGCAGACACACAGTGTAGACAGAAGTGAGCAGGATGAACAATAGGCGATTAGGTACAAATTTGTACTTTAAAATAGCATACATAGAGTAAAGCTTCTGAATAAGACATATATTCTGGCCCACCAAGGGAATGGCAGGAAGTATTTGTCAACACAACACAAGTAATTAACCAAAAAAGCCATTATACAAAGGCACTGACAGTATGAAGGGGATAACTTATTGCCATGTCTTGTTTTCTGTTTAGCAGCTTAGCCAAAAGTGTACATAGGGGTCGGCAAAACTGACCCCCGCCAGGGTGCAGGCAACCTCACCTGCTTTTCATATTTATGTGGTGCGGGGGCCACCAATACAGCTCCTAGCCAAGGGTGCAAATGACCCTATATATGCCTCTGAGCTTAGCCCTGCTAAAGATTTGAATAAATCTTACCGTTGTAGCATTTGACAGTCCTCCATCCTGCAGAACTTCGGGATCTTAATATATGACAGTGCCATATATTACCCTCTAACATTCCTCAGAAAATAGGGACAGTCTACTGATGTAGAATAGAATGTTCTTATTTGATGTGCACATAGAATTCACTTCTGTCTACTTTGGTACAGAACTGGCATCATCAATACCGAGCATACTGTGGCTGGTCATGTACACGGAATGATTACTATCACCTGAATATAACTCGGCAGTTGGACACTACACGGTTCCAGAAATTAAATTCACACATTGATCCATTTGGTGAGCAGTTCTTACCATCTCATATTTCTCTGGTGAATGAGATGGTAGCAGAAGAAAGGGTTGAATAAGTGGGAAAGGGCAGCCCTGGGGAATTCTGGTGGCACTATAATGCATGTAAGAAACATTGAAGAACATGACGTCCATTTAATTAAAGGGCCACTTGGTGCTTCTGTGGAGTGAGGATTAGGTGGTTGTTGAATCGTGATTGCTGTTTCTTGTGCAAATAAGAGAAAGCAATGAAATACTTGGGGAGGAAGAACACTGAAAAGTATGTTGTCATGTAGAGGGATGAGGAATGAATCAATTAAACCAAGTCCTCTCCCCTTTTCTACTTCCCTTTTTGAAAACTCTGAAACTAGGCCCTTCCGCATCTGAGGCCATGGCAGCAAGCTGTGGAATCCTGGCTTAAGACCAGTGCTTTGGGGGGGGGGACGCAGGGGTATGCATACCCCTAAACATTTTGTGAATCTAAGTTTGGCCTCTTTGAGGGACAGTATTTCAATGTGAGTAGGAAAATGAGAGCACCTGTCCTCTGTCTTGTGCAGAAAAATGTTCCCAGCCCTAGTTATTGCAGCAGAAGCGGGATGATAAATTATCCTAATAAATATATTTAAAGGTTCCAGTGCGAGAGGTACAAATCAGGATTTGCATAGACTGAATTCCTCAAGCATCCAGAGGCACCTCAGATCGCTTTCTTGATGACCTGGAGAACCTACTACCAAACTTTTTTAATGCAAAGGAATGCTCCCTTTTCAACATTGCATCACCATCATTTGCTACCTAGGCTTTGTTTTTTGGTCTTAGTTTGCCACAATAAGGTTGTTTTACATATTTTTCAATTATATTTTTGTTTCCAACCTGCTCAATGAATGTCTCTTGTTTTCCATTGCTCTTATCCAATCTTACCATCCTTTTATGATGAAATTAAGTGGTAGCAACTTGAGAACTGCGTGTGTTTCCCATTACAATATCATTTAATTTTTCCATCCTCAGCATATAATGAGCGATACCAAAATAAGACCTGGTGCTCAATTGGTGCAACAGGAGATGAAGTCAACCTACCTGATGACACTTACTATTTCTTTGATCAGCTAGCCGGCAATAAATACATCCGGTGAGTTTCCTTATTTATGAGACAAGAATGGCTGCTTACCGTCTCTCCTCGGTGAGTGGTGGTTGCGGCCCAATGCAGTGCCTCCCTCGATGACCAGACACAATGCACCATCTTGTCCCCCTCGGCCATTGCACAGATTCATGGGGTTCCTGCCAAACCCCGATTCAATTTGAGCCAATCAGTGGTGGCCTGGGAGGCATGGCCTAGGCAGGCGCACCTGGATGAGGAAGGCTTCACTCAGGTGCGCCCGCCAAAAAGATAGCCTGGCTGACCCTGCGCTCCTTTCACACCTACCCATTCCCTCCCTTTATAGTTGCTTGCTGCATTAACCATTTCTTTTCCAGCTAGGAGGGCTTTGCTGTGGTCTGTGGATGGTCACCATTTTCGGGCCTGGAAGGAATTTTCCCTGCACTGCAGGTTTCACCTTCCCCATAGCACTAGTCATAACTTTGCAGGTTTAGGCCTTGGGTGGAATCCTATAGTCTTTCATCCAATCGGGGTGTGGTGAAGCGGTGACTGCTCCCTGCAGTGGCGATAACAGAGTACCCTGTTAGAGGGGTCTGGAGGGAAGTCTCTGTCCAAAGTGCCAGTTGCATAGGACTAGTGGCTTCCCTCAGCGTTTGGCGCCATCTGTGTAAACCTGTGTTTTGTGTTGGACCCACCCCTGAATTGACCCTGTCATGCCTCAGCCCCCCCCGGGGGGGGGCAGCACTGAGAGGGATACATGTCCAGTGCCTATGGCAAGGCTTCCTATATCTGAAATCAATAAAGTTGTGGCCATTTTCATCCCAGACGATTTTCTTGCCCATTCATTTACCCCCATTTTACAGTCAGGTGTGTCTGGTGGGGGACTCTGGGCTGGACACACAATCATCCCTCTGGTTAAAGGAAGCAACCAGATGGCTTGAGCCTCAGATGAGAGACAATACTGTAATATGAGCTGAGAACTCACAGCAGATCCTTCAGCTGTGTGAGGCCACCTGTGTAATCTGAACAATAATACCAGTGAACAAAGCTGCTGATCTTTGCCGCACAATTCACATAGGCTTTGCATGATGATACAGTGTTTTTTCCTTGTATATTTCTCTATATGTGTGCATTCTTTCGGAGGAGCAAAAACTCTAGAAAGTCAAATTTCTGTGATTTGAAGAAACATGTCATTCCTTTATCTTAGTCTATTGCAAGGAAGCTATTTTTTGCAAAAACCTCTCTGTTGCACTGCAGATTCCTCCCGAACACTAATCATGCTGCGACATTACTCCCATGGAGTAAACCATCTGTCCTAGAGACGTGCAGAGCCTTTTATCTCAGCACCATGCAGAATTTGAGCATGCCTCAAATTTCTTGGAAAAGGGTGGAGGTGAGGAAAACTGATTTTGCTTTGCATGCTGAATGACAGAAATAATTCAGTCAATGAAGCTTGTTTTCTAATTTACTCCAAGCCATGGTTGTATGTTGTCCCTAATGGATGTGGGTCGAATTCAAGATTCCTAAGAAATTATCAGAAATGTTGAAGGCAGGAAAGTTGTTATGATGATATACAAACCGGCCTTGGTTAATGTTATCGTTTACCAGTAAATGATGGAAACAATAGCTGGGATAGCTCAGTTGGTAGAGCATGAGACTCTTAATCTCAGGGTTTTGGATTCAATCCCTGCAGTGGGCAAAGGTTATCTGCATTGCAGTGGGTTGGACTGGATGACCCTCATGGATGACCCTTCAAAATCTACAATTCTATGATTATAGAATTTTCTGAGGGCACGCTTGGCTAGCCTTGAGTGTACTGATAAACATCAGAATATTGCCGCATTTCTTCTTGGCCTCCTAAGATCTAGGGTGTTCTTTTATTTACAGAATATATGTGTCAGTTCCTCTTTCAGTCACAGAGAAAGTGTCCTGAAGTGATCCAGAACAGGCTCAGAAAGTTGGTTGTGTACTCAGATTCCCAGAGCAAATGACTGCTAGACCAGTTTGCTTCAGTAGTATCAATATATTATTTATTGTGGTTTTCATCTTCCTTCAGGAAGGCTGAGGGGTGTGTGTATAGATCTTTCAATATTTATCCTTACAACACAGCCTGGATGATGGCCAAAGAGAGAACTGTGGTGGGATCTCTTTTTGTTTTTTAATATTGGAAATGGTGTGAAGGGAAAATGTTGGTCTGACATCCACTAGCACCAATGAATTTTTATAAATTGCCCTCTTCCAGGCTACATCTATCTTCAAAAAATAATATGAGAAATCTGATCACAGATCTCTCCACAAGAAAGATGGGGAGAAAGGGGAGACAGAGAGAATGGCTCACGATTACTAGGGGGTCCCTGTGCCCTACTTTAGAGACGGCAGTCCTACATCTGCATGACTAGAAAATGCTGTTTGCTGGAGTTCTCTATTTGAAGATCTGCCTGGTTCAAGTGCAATTTAAAGATAAAGAAGAACCCCAAGAAAAGAGAGTCGGTGGCCTTGAATCACCAGCTGACACTTAACACCTGGACAGCAGGCTGAGCAGGTCACTTAATTACAATCTTCCCCACCACCATATTATGTTGTTGTTGTTTAGTCGTTTAGTCGTGTCCGACTCTTCGTGACCCCATGGACCAGAGCACGCCAGGCACTCCTGTCTTCCACTGCCTCCCCCACCATATTATATTTCTTTTTAAAATATAGTAAAAAAATTTTAAAGGCCAGGTGAGAATAGTACAGATAAGCATTGGTGCTTTTGTGTGATTTGTCCAATTATGTTTTTTCTTAGTTTGCAAGGAGTAAACACTTCACATGTAGTTGCAGCTATTCATGACCCTGATGAGTATACCTGCATATACACACATGTCTCATTCTGACATTACATTTTTAGTTGTATGCTAAAAAGAAAAATTCACCGTATACCTAAAAATGTCATGTGAATATGCCATTAGCATAAAAACATAAGCAAAAATTCAAGGTTCTCAGTTTCCTTTATTCATTTGGCAACAATGGGTTGACCTTACATAGGGTGTTGCATGACACAACCAGTTAAAGCAGTGGCTGCTGGAGAGGGTAATGGGAATGGCTCATAGCTGGAGGGAGATTTGATTTTTCTATCCTATTCTCTCTCTTTCTAGACAAATGCCACAGGTATTATCTATCTCTACACCGATCGGGAGCCTTCAGAAACTAAATGTTTTTTTGCTTGCACATGGCTCACCAAAAGGTAACATTCTTTCCAAAATATTTTATATAATTCATTAATACATAGAACAATATTCAAAGTCAATATACACAAAAACCCTGAAGTTTTTCTTTCTTAAAGCTTACCAATTTTCTGTCAGTGAGCATCTCAGCAAACTACTAGGTCCCAACTGTGCTGTACATTTAAAACAGTATCAGTGAATTTAGAAATAATATATTGGTGGTAGTTTTCTCCACAAATCAATTTATTCTGTGCTCATGCTAAATCTCTTCTTTCCCTTCTCATTCTCAGGCGTGACTTCAGAGTATTAAGGTGTTCCTTCCCTTTTTTGAGTCTTATGTTTTGGAAACCTTGCAAGGTTGATAAAGTGGTAAGAAGATTAGAATTTCCTTAGTTTCTTCACAAAGCTGAGGATGTCAAGCGTCCTAAAGACACAAACACAAAAGCCGTTCTTGGGAAAGAAATGTCTTCCTTTAAAGCTGGACTTCTGTTGCGGATATTGAATTTGTTCAGTATTTGCAGATTCATTCAATTAATGTCTCTGAGCTCCTTTAGGAGGAAGGGTAGAACATTAATTGAATGAATCTGTAAGAAATCAATCAAACCAATAAATATAATGGGATTCCTTTACTGTCTGAATTACCCAAAACATTTCCCTGCACCTAGCAGAAGAACATTGTCTTAATGTTGCAGTTGTAAAATCACCCATGCTAGGGAGTAGGGCTCCCTAATGTGGTGGGGAGTATGTCTCTACACGCATAGTAGGGGTGAGGAACCTCTTTCTGACTGAAAGCCACGTTCTCTTCTGCACAACTTTGTGGAGGCCAGGGTCAGAGGCAAAAGTCAACAGAGCAATCAATGTGAATTCTACCATTGTGCAGTAGCCTAGTTTCTTCACATTCGCACATCTTTCTCTATCCTCCATCGAAGCAAGCAAGAAGCATTATCAGAATTCAAGGACACATTCCAGTCAGGGGAAAACATTCCAAGTGGGGAGGAATGCTCAGCTGGTGAGGGGTGTGGGTTTTTTTGGGGGGGTGTCCTGGAGATAATCCCAAGGGCTAGCTAGAAAGAGCTGATTTATCTAATGCAGGAGTGAGAACCTGCTCTATGTAACAAAGCAGGCTGGGGTCACATCCATTGGAAATACATAGTATTAAGTTGTGGGTGGACGTAGCAGTCGACACAGAGATTTCTTCAAGTGGTTCTTTATAGTAAGCTGGAACTGAACTAAACAGCTTTTACAGGCAGCCAGCTGTCAACATTGTAACAACAACAGCCCAGGGTTTCCCGCCTAAATTAACTGACGTGGACCTGAGTGACAACTATATACACAATACCCCTGGTGGCCAGGGTGAGAACTTCAATACATAACACATAGGGGGGTTTAAGGTCACCTGGAAAGAAGGGCTATGTTATCTGTGGCCATCCTCCACCACTGTTCCCTCTTCCCTATCCTTGGAAGACACAAACCAGGAACCTCAGCTCATTCTTCTTCAAATTCACACTAATGAACATTCTATAATTTCTTAATATGACACGTTCGCTTCTCAGCTCCTTCTTTTGTCTTATCTCTTTGCAGGGAACAGGTGTTTATAAAGCAGAATTGTCAAAGCCATTATTGGGATGGAAGGGTTTCTTTATTGAGGTAAATATAATCTCTAGTTGAGTATTTGACTCATTCTTGCACAGCTTTTTCCTTAGCTTAATAGCAGTGTAAAGGTAAAGGTAAAGGTAAAGGTAAAGGTAAAGGTACCCCTGACCATTAGGTCCAGTCGTGGCCGACTCTGGGGTTGCGGCGCTCATCTCGCTTTATTGGCCGAGGGAGCCGGCGTACAGCTTCCGGGTCATTTGGCCAGCATGACTAAGCCGCTTCTGGCGAACCAGAGCAGTGCACAGAAACGCCATTTACCTTCCCGCCAGAGCGGTACCTATTTATCTACTTGCACTTGGACATGCTTTCGAACTGCTAGGTTGGCAGGAGCAGGGACAGAGTAACGGGAGCTCACCCCGTCGCAGGGATTCAAACCGCCGACCTTCTGATCGGCAAGTCCTAGGCTCTGTGGTTTAACCCACAGCGCCACCCGCGTCCCAATAGCAGTGTAGGGGGAGGCAATTTCCATTGGAATAGTGGAAGCAGGAGGGGAGGTTTAAAACGTTCCTTTCCCTGCAACCTCCCCCTGCTGCTCAGCTGACTGGGAAACAAGTGAGAATGGTGAAAAGTGAAATGGCAAGCAGAAACAAATAATCTTTATCTGGACTCTCTTGCTCTCTTCCTGCTGCTCTGCTGATCAGTGGGAGGGGTTTTTGTGCGCCATATAAGATTAGACAGCCGATAGAACAGTTGGGAATTACACACAGATTACACACAGAACAAGAGATAGAAAACATGCATGTTTTTGGAGAGTAGACATACAGATGGGAGAATATGCATATTGGCCAGAGAATGTACAACATTCAAGTATGACATGCAAATTCCCCAAAGCCTGTTGGGAAGCATAATGGCTAACAAAGTACAGAATTCAGACACTACAGGCAGGTTTCCCAAGCTTTATTAGAGAATATGCATATTGACCGAGAAATGTGCACAATTTCTTCTTCATAGAAACATGGGCTGCACATTTTCCATGAAGGCTGCTGAATGTGCACAATGTTGGGTTTTACTTACATTAACTGTTTTATGTACATTCCCTTTAATATACATATATTAATTGAAACTAAGTTCTCCAAGACTGTTGTGCAACTGTATAAATAGGCATGAAGTATTCTGCGATTCGACACTGCTTCTAAAATCTGCAGTAAGATGCATTCATCACTTCTTTGATATCTCTGTGCTACAAACTCCTAATCCTGCTCCATTCAGCTCTCTGCAAAGGAACATATTGAGCAGAACTCCAATTTCTTTTCCAGGTAACTTTCAAAGGACCTGAGAACGATAAGCATGTTTTCACCTCAGAGGTTCAAATCATCCCAGACACTTTTCCATGTGCAGACTGCAAGGGAGAAGGATGCTATGGGAAGCTGGTGTGAAACCCTGCAGAGAAAATGTGGCTCTTGTTGCTGAGGGAAGACATAAGAGGCATGAGGGAAGACATAAGAGGCATTTGGAAAACCATGCGGAGAAGCGGGTGGACAGAGAAGAAACCTCATGCAAAGAAAGCAGACAGGTCCCACTTAAACTAAAATGAAATAGGTGCAGGGGTGTCACTCAGGATCAGGAGACCTAACCAAGGAGCAGGTGCTGTGGCAGTGGGAAATGGGGAATGGGTAGGGTGGATGTATGAAGAATATCAGACATGAGAGGAAGGGTCTGGTTATATAGAACAAGTAAATATGACACAGGAAAGTGTGCCTTTTGATCCCCAGTGCCTTGGATCATAATAAACAATATAGCTGTGTTTTATAAGTCTTCAATGAAACACTTTGCTAGTTTTTGATCATTTTATGCAGACAGTACAATTCCTTATCATACTTTTAAGACAGTTTAACCTCATAATTGGATTAAATATTCTCTAATCTAAGTATTTAATTACAACTGTCATGTAAAGTGATTGAGTTCAAATTCTGCACAAGGCACAGAACAACTGAGTTGCTTCCTTGGCTAGCTATTACCTGTTACCTTTAGGTTCCTCTCTGCAAAATGGGGTGTAATAATAAAACAAATATGCCATTGTACCACTTGCAGGGGTTTTCATTGCCTAATCCTGTCTTCATATTTTTCTGCATTACCAAATATACCTTGTTTCCGGCATTCATGCATTGGGTGTCACGTCCTTGTGTTGTGAAGGTATATGCCTATTACAAGGGAGAAATTCATGTAATTGCCCTTGTTCAATATGAGATTCCCAAATGGGTGAAAGTTACATTGGCAAAAGCAAATTTGCTTTTCTTGTGCATAAGTAATTGCTAGCCCAAACAATCAGGATTAAGCATACGAAACGTTTGCTATCCAGGTCACCATCCCACAACATGCGCTCTCCCACTGATTGCCCAAGCAATGGGTTGGACCAGAATTAACACCCTTTCTGTCCCAGACCTCTTTCCCCTTCCTCAGCTGGTTAACTCTTCCTTCCCCTCCAATCCCAGTGTTGACTGACATCTATATTTTTTCCTAAGGTTAATTGCTGAGGGGGTGGGGGTGGGGGTTTTCATCAGGATTTGGGAAGGAAATGTTTAGGTCTCCTTTCCCTACAGTCACTTCTGTGCTGCTCAGCTGACTGGCTGAGAATTGGGGATAGGAAGACAGACTACAGAAAGCAGGTTAATCTTGATCTGGAACCACATCCTTTCTTTCCACATCAGGTTGTGGCCCAGGTAATATTAAACAGCAGACCAGGGGTGCAAATTGCACTAGACTAAGAAACAAGGTTATGTTTTTGGAGGCTATGCATACTGACTAGAGATGTCAGCTGAGATGTACATGCCCAAAGGCCTGTTGGAGATTCGGTATATTGACCAGAAATATGCATAGTCAGTTTATGTGCACATTCTCCATGATGCCTAGTGATTGTACACATTATTAAACACATTAGATGCTCATCTTACACTCCCCAATATATGCATAATATAATATAGAATAAATCTGTAAAAGAGTTGAATTGTGTCAGGAACTGGCTGGCTGAAGAGGAGTGCTGGGAGACGCCATCCAAGGAACCCCCTGGGAAGGCAGCGGAGGAGGAAGGCTCAGAGCCAGGATAAGAGTAGTGGGACTCGGAAAACTGGCTGGGTGGAGGGGAAGCAACAGGCTTGAGTGCAAGAGAAGAGCCAAAGTCAGCAAGCCCTTCAAGGGCAGGACAGGGGGCAGAGGGAAACACTTCAGGCCCCAGATCTGAAGGAGAGGAGGAGGAGGGAACAGAAGCTGAAACAGCTTCACAGGAGCTGCCCAGCCCCACTATATTAAGCTCCCCTGCCACTTTGACTCCAAGGTCATGAAGGACTTTGCATGTAGCTGAACGAAAAGCTCAGAAAGCACAATGGGCTCCTTCCTGCTGGAGTTTACACCTGCTTGAGAGACATCCGGCAGAGGAGGAGGGTTAGCGAAAAGCAGGAGGGGTCAAGAGCCAATCTTGGCAACCGAGCTTGCATGGTCTCTGCTTGTATGCTATTTTCTTGAATAAAAAGCTGACTTTACTTTGAATCGATGACCCAGCCCTGCCAGATTGGCCCACAAATACTAGATTAAGGGTCCTTTCATATTCTTCAAAGCAGCCTTGTTGATGTTGTGTTGGCTGTAGTCTGATAGAACTTATGTTTTATACATTTGCTGGAAGTAGAATTGCTATGGAAGTAGATCCCTCAAACTCTTTGCTGCCTCTGCTATCCTCATGTGAGGGAAGTGGTGCAGCTGGGACTGGACCTCAGGGCTCAAGTCCAGGATCCCACCACAGCCCGGCCTCCCTTCTAATGAGCACCCAGAGAGTAGCAGATGATGGAGGCAGCAGGAAATAAGGTCCAGCAAAAAAACCTAGGCCAGCATGGGCATGTTGGTTCCCACTAAGGCTGACACTGTTTGTGTTATGGTTGTCATATGGAACCATGTACTGAAACAATATATGGATAGGAAAGCACAGATCTTTCATTTAATAAGGAAGTAGGGTGGACTTTGTGTAACCATGGCCTTAGCTGCTGAAGAAATGTCAAATCCACCAGAATGAGGGACAGGAGCAGGTAGGGTTGCCACCTGTGCCTTAAATGGGATTGTCCCATTTCTCTTTTTTCACATATATTTTCTTGAGTGTTTTCAACATAAAATACAAGAAGAGCCAAGCTAATTTAATAAAGTAAGAATAGGCGAGAGAGAGAGAGAGAAAGAGAGAGAGAGAGAGAGAGAGAGATAGAAAGAAAGAAAAGGAAGAAGAAAGAAAAAGAAAAAGAAACACAATGTCCTCTATTATAATTATATCTTAACCTTTTCCCCACACACAGAAGAGTGAACTCTTCCCTCTCTTCCCCCAGCCTCCCACCCTGGGAGATCCTCTCTACCCTGCCTCTCACACAGGGCCCTTCATCTTCCATCCATCACCTTCCTGTGTGTATCTTCATTAGTGAATCTGTTGTACTACTTCTATTTTGGCCTGTTCTGTTTGACATTTAGCTTCCCTGCCTGACATTTCTTTTCCCACTTGTATTTTGGCCAACTGAATCTGTTGTGCTACTTGAAGCCTGGCTTGTTCTGCTTGAAGCCTGCCTTTTTCTTTCGCTGCTTCTATTTTTGCCATTTCAAGTTTTATTTTCATCCATTTCACCTCCTGACTAGAACTGCCCTCAAAAGTTGCTCCCTCAGTCTGAGCTTCTCCCTGGCTGTCTCCTCTCACTTGAGGAGTTCTAGATGGGAGTGCCATTTCCTGACAGGAATCTTTCCCTCAGAAAAACTTTATGGTAGTGCTTTATTTTACTTGTGGGTTTTATTTCATATCACCATGCTACCTCCAATTGCAGCAAACCCCTCTCTTTTAACCACCAAGAGTTTATCTTATTGTTTTTGTGTGAGGAAAATCTTTGACACCTGGAGACTCAGGGAAGTTGAACAGATAAGGATTTATTTTGCAGAACAAAGTTGGTCAAACCAAAGATGTGTCAGGAGATGAAATTCTTTAAGGAAACAGTTAACTTATTTATAATTATATTAAATCTAGTGGATGTTACAGGTTTCTAAACAAGGTAGTAAATGCACAGCTTATTTTCACTTCAGTTGCTTATTTTCACTTATTACTCTTCAGTTAGATGTTATAGGTTTCTCGACAACATGGTAAATGCTCTGCTTATTGTGAGTTATTTCACTTCAGTCCCTTAACTTTTTATCATGGTGTTACAGTACATTGGTTCTTAAACAAGGTGGTATTTTCTGTCAGTTTCCCAGTCTTCTATAAATCACTCTCCTGAGGTACTTCTAAAAGTGTAACAGATCCAGGGGTCACCACACCCTTCCTAACTGGTTTTGGATTCTTCTTTTTCAGGATGATCACTCCTCCTGACTGAAGTGCGACCCAAGTAGAGTGTTTCTTCACAGCTCTTCTTCTTGCTCAAACTCAGCCTCCCAGTTTTCTCTTGTCTGAATACTCTCACAAGACACCAAACACTGTTTTTTCAGTCTAAGCTCAGAGACTCCTTTCTCTAGCTGTAGATATTTTCCTCAGAGTGGATGTTACACACACAGGTCAGGAGCTTTACTCCTCTCCTACTTAATGTCAGAACCAACTTTCTCCTCAGCTCTCAGAACACTCCAATTCTTCGACTGCTTTTCTTTTTCCCTCCCAAAGCCTCCCAGAGTGAGGCTACCTGCTCTTCCAGTATTACCTAGACAGTGGGAAACCGCTTTAACTTCTGTAATAATGGTGTCCATAGATTTTAAATTACAACTTATGCAACAGAATTATACAACAGAAAAATATTATTTAGAATTTATTGGACTCCATTAGACTTTTATATAAAAAAGGACTGTCTAATGTAGCTCTATGTTGGAGATGTAATAAGGATAATGCCTCTTTGAAATGTATGTTATTGCAGTGGCCTAGACTCACTAGGTTTGGGGAGAAAGTGCTGGACTGTATAATATGACTGTGCAGAAAAAGTTAATATTCTCAATGGAAAATTTTCTTTTGAATTATATCTATTGTATGCAAGCTGACAGCTGGACAACAAAGATGGATTCTATGTGCCTTAACTGTGGCCAAGAGACTGGTACTAATGAATGTAAAGAAGAACACTATGGTCCCCTTTAATCAATGGATTGATGACATGACAACACTTGCGATGGCTTATAGATGCAGACTTTGTTTGCATAAATATATTGACTTTTGGAATGAGTATACAGAATAAAGTAGGTTATTAATATATGTACTAGGACAATAATAATACTCATATAGCTGTATGATAATGTATGGTACTGTAACTGCTTATATTTAGTGTATTATATTATATATTTTGCCTTTTTTCACTGCCAATACTGTATAGATACACGAGCTAGGTTCATCTTGCCTATACTACATAAATTTCCAGGTCGTACAGAACAACTTTATACCTCCCTGCTACTTCAAGATGAAAACCCAGATGTGACATACTCAGTTGCTAGATTTTGTGCTGCCTGATGGATATTCATCGAAGGATGGTTTGCTCCACAAACTAGGTCCAAAATGCAAGACTTGTGTTCTTTCACTCTTCCTCCCTTATAGTTGCTTTTAATTGTTGGCCTTGTTTTTATCTTTTATGTGTGATATAATCACCTTTTAACTACTAGTTTTTATCCCTTACCTGTTTTAAGTCTTATGCGTTCAGTTTATGCATATGTTTTATCTTATGCTGGTCTGTGACTGAAATAATGTTTGATACTGATATTATATCTTTTTTCTTATAATATTTTTATATTTTATATTTTTAGTTGTACTTCTTTCCTCTTCCCTCTTTTCACTTTATTTTCTATAACTGAAATTTTATTAATAAAATATTAATAACAGAAAAATGATGTTTTGGTTTGCATATTGTTTTAGAAAGTGCAAATTAGTTAGATTTGCCCATAAATGTGAACTGAACCAAATTTCTCCCATCCCTAATAAAAATAGAACTGATTGGACAGGATGAATCCTGCAGTTCAACAACAGCCAAAGTTGCTGACTGTGCAATATTGAGGAATGTGGGGATGTTTTGCCTCATCTAATATATGGATATGTGAAGCAAAAACAACCTCAGGGGTATTTCACTGTAGTTTCCTCCTCTCCCACTGTTACATTATAATCTGAGGAATGTCATGCAACACAGAAACTTCTATACTAATCCGAACCTTGGCATACTTCCCAACTCTGTTATGCAAGAGGAACCTACTCCTGAAAGGAAACTTTTTGGCTGCAAGACAGGGAAGAATATCTGCCCTAAATATTCCTGTGCAGAGTCAAGCTGAGTTTGACTACATGATTCAGAGCCCTGTTTGTCAAATGATCCTTTTAAAATTCTGGGAAAGCTTAATGTGACATTCATGGAGGGAACTATACTAAAGCAAAGTTTTGCATGCACTGCCAAGGCTTTTTTCTATGCACAATTCATTGTTGTCGTTTTTCAGAATTTCTGTTACAAACATAAATAGCAAAAGTTAAAAAAGAAAAAAAAAGCATCACATCATTTCATAATACCATTAAGAAGATTATACACAAGCAATCAGAGTGAAGCGGAATAAAAAACGAGTGAAGAAAGTAGAAAAGGGTCTTTTTCCAGGAAAAAACCTCATTTTCATTATAAGAGTTGTCATAGCGATCCATAGTTAAATGTGTCCTCTTTATTTGCTCTTCAAAATATGGCAACCCTAGAGAGGGGATAGACTCTGGCAGAGCCCACATAGTGAAGAGATCACACAATGGTCCTGGATGTAAGTTTCAGACCTCACGGCATATTTGTGTGTGCGCATGCATGCACTCCTGAAGAAAGAAGATATTTCATATGAAGCAAGGGAAGAGAGATATTCTGTTTAATTTGGGGCAGGTATGGCATCACCATCTGTACCTTCAATGTTACCCCACAGAAGTGGCTGGATGGTGAGAGCAGTAGTTTGAAAATGGAGATGGAGATGGAGAGGGGAGCTAAGGGAAGTCTTTGGTGGGGGGGGGGAGGGATGGGGGAAGGGGGGAAATAATGTAATTGATTATTTGGATTGATAATTTTTTTGTTGAAATTGTCTAATAAAAATATATTAAAGAAAAGAAAAGAAAAGAAAATGGAGACGGAGGGAGCCCCAATGCCATATGCATATAACAACAACGAGTGAGGAGGCTGTTGAAGGGGTTGACTCACTCTGTGGAAATATAGGGAGCGTTATGTATATGGGTCTCCGTGTGGTTGGCTGTGACATGGATAAAAGGCAACTGCTGTTTCCTAGTCTCTGGAACCAGAAACTATGGCTCCCAGTTACTCTAAGGTTACCAGATTTTTTTCAATGAATCCAGGGACACTTTTCAACTTCAATGGATTTTGTATGGGGACTGATTTGTAAATCCGGGGACTGTTCCCAGGAAACGGGGAGGTCTGGTAACATTAAATTATTCTGCATTCACTTTTCCAGTTTCCAGTGCTTTTAAGCACATAATTTATCCACAATGCATATCCACTTTTATCAAATACTACTGTTCAATGCATTGTCTTTCAAACCAGCTTCACATCGAATGGAGTCTTTAAGCTACTCCTACTTTATCTCTCACCAAGGTGTGAACACCTTTGCATAGGATAAAAGTATCTCCACCCTGTGAACGCCCCTGGTGCCAACAAAAACAGAAACCAATCTGACACTAATGTACCTGTTCTGATGTAAACTGCTAGGGTGGGAAAGAGCTGTGAAACAAACAAAAAACCTCATTGTGCTCTAAGGCGGTAATGGGAGCACACCCTACATTAGAGACAGTCAATTACTAGATCCTTATCAATGACAATAAGGTACAGCCATCCTCTGCTCTTTTTTTTTTCCACTTTCATGCTGCTTTTAATTAGAAACTTGCCGAAAATGAACGCTGAAAATGTCATTCATACACAATAAATACCAAAAATGTCAAAAATGCCACTCAGCAGCCACGTTTCTTTATAGCAGGAAACTGTTTGCTCTGTAAATTGTGGAGCTGCTCAGACTTCTCTTGTACACGAACCTTCTCCATGGACTAGATTTGCTACACAGAGATGCATGTTGGAAAGAAGCACTATGTGTGTGCTTTCTGTGGGGACTGAATTATCTTGCTGGATTTTCCCTGTCATAGCCAAAAAGCAGAATATATCTTATCCTTCCAGCTCCTCTTATAAAATTTGGAATCATTCAATTAGTCCACAACATGTGGCATTTGCAACAAAATGTAGTGCGGTATACTTGATACTTAGCCTGAACATTGGAAATAGAGGGGATTCTTGTTACAGCCATGCCTTCCTTAACGCAGCGACCTCATTTACAGTGAAGTGTAGCTTGCAACTGAGGCTGCTTTCAATTAAATCACTTAGTTTGTGCTTGACTCCTTAGTCTTTGTTGCAGGTGGCAAATCAGCACTGCCATCAAAAAGTCAGGATAGTGACTCCTCATTGCATGTGAGCAGGCGGAGGAAACCCCATAGACATGATAAATCTACAAAGTGTTAAATGTTTTAAATACATATTGATCTTTATTTTTGTGTTGCACTGTATATGATTTCATGTACACTTCCCTGAAATCTAATAGGATGAAGGGACATTTGAACTTCTAATAGGAAGTATGAATATTCTAATGAAATAAAATTAATTATTATCATGTGCGGAAATGTTCTTAAAAATATATACAGTGTTGAAACCAAGGGCCAGAACGTCTTGTCTTTTCTCAGCTATATATGGAAAGTGGACAAAGATAACACAACGGCTGAAAAAATTTGACCTCTTGAATGTCATCTCAGATTATGCATATCCTGATTTTGCTGAGGGACAACACTCTTTCTTGCTATTCTAAAAACCACAGTACTTCCAGTTCTGATAATCTAAAATAGTTACCCAATATTCTAACAAAAGCTGCAAATTATATCATTTTCACATAGTTCATGTTCCATGTCTAGATATACCTTGGGCATAAGCAAATTTGTTCCTTGCTCTTATATATATATCTCAAGATGCTGTTTCCTTCTCTGCTGTCACTTCTTTGTACTGATCTTACACTTCTTTTAAGTATGAGATGTCAGCTTCTAATGTCAGCTCACTACTTTTCCACAGGCAAGACGAGCACCCTTTAGCTTATATGCTTGGCTATGCAGCTTTGGACATCTTCCTAGGCAGCATTTTGGCCCTTCTCAGCAAACTTTGGGATGTACTTCTTTTTCTCCAGCAACCCTAAACACATTGTTTGGCTAAACTAATTTGTAATACATACTTTTACAAGCAATTTAAAGCAGCTAATCAATCAATTCACTACTGAAAAGGTTAAAATAAACGAATCCTCCTGAACAATCCAATCAGAATAATTTCATAGGTGCATTAACTTTATCTGAGATTCTGACCCCTACATTAAATTTTGTGAGCTGCAGCTGCCAAGTAAATCCTCGCACAATTCAATGGAAAAGGAAGAAAGGATGTTTAGTGTAGGTCGTGTGTATACAATTTCAGGGTCACAAACAAGGTATCTATGTCCATTCTATGCTACAGTAAGGAATTTCAGACAACCCTTTCCCATATAACTTGTGTAAATGATGTCTCAGGGGGCCTGCTCCATTCATGCATTCAGATCCCATCAGAAGGATTGAACTATATAAACATTTCTGTGCCTTGTACAGTACAGGGTCAGATTTAAGGTGCTGCTTTTGACCTTTAAAGCCCTTCACGGCCTAGGACCCTCGTATCTACCGGACCGCCTCTCTCGGTATGCCCCACGGAGAGCCTCAAGGTCCATAAATAGCAACACCCTAGTGGTCCCGGGCCCTAAGGAAGTTAGATTGGCTTCAACCAGAGGCAGGGCCTGGTGGAACGCTCTGCCTCATGAGACCAGGGCCCTGCAGGATCTGATTTCTTTCCGCAGGGCCTGTAAGACAGAGTCGTTCTGCCTGGCCTTTGGCTTGTAGACCTGCTTTCATGTTCTGTATTCCCATGCTGTGGAGATTCTAATTGCAAACTTGCTAAGCTGTCTGGCAAATCATGCATTCCAGCAGGACATTGCTTGTAATAGGCATGCAACTTCAGAACACAAGATATTGTCACCCAATGCAATATGGTAGGAATGCCAGAAAAACCTTTATTTGTTAACAAACAGAAAACAAACAGAAAACAGCAAGAAATGATCAGGCAATGAAATCCCCAGCAGGTGGCTTCACTTCTGCCACAAAAAATATAGTCAACTTTATTATTATCCCCATTCATCAGAAGGGAATCTAAAATGAAGAGATAACAGCTAGCCAAAGAAGCCACTCATTTGTTCTCTGACTCACATGGAATTTAAATTCAGTCACTTTACATAATGATTTACAATCCAGTTATAATCAATTACTTAGATTAGAGGCTATTTGTTCCCATTGAAGTCTATGAAGTTAAACTATCTTAAATCCATGCTAAGGAGTTGTGAATTAAATCTGCACTAAATGCTCCAATACTTGTACAGAATTTCAGTGAAGATTAACAGAAGATAGTGCTTTTCTTTCTTGTGATTCAGAGATTTGGGGATTACAAAGGCACAGTTTCTTTTGCTGCATTACTTGTTCAGAATTCTGCAGAGCCAAGCCCTTCCTCCCATGCCCTGTATTTCTCATTCATCCACCCTCCTACCCATTTCCCATTGCCACCATAGCTAGTCCTTTAGGTCTCCTGATTGTGACCGACATTCTCACCTGCCCCATGATATTACATTCCCCATCCCACACCTATTTCAGTTTAGCTGAAGTTGAACCTGTGTATTCTCTGTACAAGGTTTTTTCTCTGCCCACTTGCTCGTCTGCACGTTTTTCTAGGTGCATCTCATGTCTTCCCCAGCAGGAGCCACAGCATCACTGGTGGATGTCACACCAGTGTTCCATAGCACTCCTCTCCCTGGCAGTCTTTACATGGATAAGTATCTGGGATAATGTGAACCTCCGAAGTGAAAACATGTGGCTTGTTCTCAGGTCCTGGGAAAGTTACCTGGAAAAGAAATGGCAGTTCTTCTCAGTATGTTCCATTGCAAAAAATGGCATGGAGGCTGCATTGAAAGTTTATAGCACAGGCATATCTAAGAAATAATTATTATGCCTTACATTTACATCAGTGCCTTAGGGCAGAGTACTTCATGCTTTCTCAAGTGGCTGGCTGCACAGCAGTTTTCTGTCTCTTGGTTTCAAGTAATATATGAATACCCAGCTTTCAGGCATGGTAATCAGAAGTTGATGGATCATTCTTAGAAGGATAAAATGAGTGAACTAGACTGAATGACAAGCTAAGCATTTGGTACTTCCAGTTTTTGCCTTGAGTCTTCTAGATAGTTTTATAGCACCTAAAGAATTTCTCACTAAACACAAGCTGTATAACAGCTTCATCTGAATCCTGAGGTGAACATTCAAACTGTCAGAAACAAAATGAGAAAGCTCTCCAAACTGTTAAAAAAATTACAAAGACGATTTTTATCTTTTACATGCAAACAGGGAAAAGAAATATCCATTATTCTTGATTTTGAAAGGGATGGAACCAATAGCTGAGCTGGTACGTGATGTAGACCAGTATTGTTTTCTCCATGCTACAAGAAATGTAGGAATGAAGCAGAAGAAACCATGGCTTGATTACACCATCCAGTGAGTTTAATGCCTGGACAGGGGTTTGGAAAACTATTTCCGCTTATAGCCCCTGAAGACAATCACTCTGCTTTAGCAGTGCTTCATCTAAGCCATACTTAATGAAAAAGCTGCAAATGCCAACCTTTTTTTGGGTTGGTGATGAAGATTTGGTACTGGAATGGTGTGGACAATGTGTGATCTGAAATCATAAACCAACGATGTCTATCCTGATTCCTTCTTTAACAGTCTAGTACTAATGTCCGTACATGACATTCCATCAGTTCTGGTGCTCAGTACATCCAGATTGTTTGTGTGTGTGTATGTGTGTGTGTGTGTGTGTGTGTGTGAGAGAGAGAGAGAGAGAGAGAGAGAGAGAGAGAGAATGAGGATCAAATACTAGAATCCATGGAGCTGATATTTACCTCAATAAAAAAGCCTCTCCATCCCAATAGTGGCTTGCTCATTTCTGCCATATAAACACCATTTTCCTGCAAAGAGATGAGATAGAAGAAGGCACTGAGAAGTGAACAGGAGTTCTTGCATCACATTGCACTTAAGAAATTCTAGAACGTTCATTAGTATGAATCTGGAGAAGAGTGAGGTGAGGTGAGGTTCCTGGTTCCACTGTTCCAAGGAAAGACAACAGAGGAACAGCTATGGAGCCAGTGCTCAGTGGGCAGGATGGGGCGGAGGGTGATCCCACTTTTCTTCCAGGTGAACCTTAATCATTTCAAGTTTCGAATAGATAGAAACTTGTCCCATTTTGTTACACAGAGCAGGCTCTCAAACCAGCATTACAAACATGTCACACCAGGGAAGAGGAGCCTCAGGCCCAGGGACTAAATGTGGCTCTGAAGACTTTCTATATGGCCCTTGGGATGTATATGGATGTTTTTAGTAGTGAGGTATAAAGAAAATGTTATTTTCCTCATATCTCCCTGGGCAATGCTAGATGGAAATTGGCTCTGTTGGGCTTTGAAATGAAACCATCCCATGGACTCCCCCATGGGAAAGACCACGTTCCAGCTAACTCAGATAATGAAGGAATCCTATTTGTGTTACAGCAGGGTCTCTCCAGACTGTTGCACATGAACCTCTGCTCATCCAAGGGGAAAGCAAGAGCAATGGGCATTCTTGGGCAGCCAATCACTAATAGTAACCAGCAGGATCCTGTGCAACACACCTCACAATTGTCTGAAATGAATGCACTATCCTGGGGTGGGGGACCCCAGCATTTAGCAAATTTGCAGATATAAGGAAATTCAATATCTCTACAACAGAAGCCCAGTTTTGTGTGTGCGTGTTTGGAGTGGGGAGACTTGGCCTCTTCAGCTGTGTGAAGAAATTGAGAAATCCTAAATCACAAACCCTCTTACCACTTTCTCAGCCGCACAGGGAAACCAAGGTATGATTCGTAAACCAGCACTCGTGGACCACCTGAAGTCTCGCCTGTGATTTATATAGGAAAGAGGAGGAATGGTGAACACTGAAGCTACTTTTTTGAGTTAAGTACCACCAAGAATGCAACATCTTATTGCTGCACAAGGGATAATTCTGTTGATAGAAAATAAAAAAATCTGTTTATTTACTATGCAAGACAACTCACCATTATGATGGTCCTTTAACATTGTCAACCTGATCCCAAAGGTTCCAGAGCATAGTAACCCACCCAGAGAATTCCCTTCTGAACCTCGGTTAGCAGGTTTGAAAACATGCAAAAGGATTTCTGGCAAAGAATAAAAACTATATTTTTTTGTGGCGCTGTTCACTGACAGAAAGAGCACTCAGATTGCTTTCTTTTCTTTTTTTGCCAGAAAGAAAATATTGCAATGCTTTCTTTTCTTTTTTTGCCAGAGAGAAAATATTGCAAGGCAGAGAACACCCCCAATGGCTTCTTTGTAGGGATTTATTTTATTTTATTTTTTTTAATAATTTTTGATTAAGTTTTTAAACAAACAAAAAAGAAAAACAACACACACAAAAAACAATACAAAACTTAACAATATAAACACAAAACAATTAATAACGAACTCTCTTTTCCATTACCAATTTTAAGTTACTTATTTTCTGGACTTCCTCATACCTCCCTCTTTTGTATTCCAATCCACATTTATTTATCCAGCAGTTTCTTTTCCACTTTTTAATCCCAATCTTTAATTTAATAAAATGTTAAAATATATAACTTCAACTCTTTTAAACCTAATCCTTGATCTTAATATCCTGTAACTTTAAAGTTTTCCCTTTTAAAATCAAATTTCCATTTCTTTAAACTTCTTTAATCTTAATCTTTAATCTTAATCTATCCTTAACTTTAACCTATGCAGCTGGAAACCACTTATTTTCAGTCCAACATCACTCTAACATTCCTTAATTTTGCAGTGTTTCTGAAGATAGTCTTTGAATTTCTTCCAGTCTTCCTCCATCGACTCTTCTCCCTGGTCACGGATTCTGCCAGTCATTTCCGCCAATTCCATATAGTCCATAAGTTTCATCTGCCATTCCTCCAGCGTGGGAAGTTCTTGTGTCTTCCAATACTTTGTGATGAGTATTCTTGCTGCTGTTGTTGCATACATAAAGAAAGTTCTATCCTTTTTTAACACCATTTGGCCCACTATGCCCAGGAGAAAGGCCTCTGGTTTCTTAGGGAAGGTATACTTAAATACCTTTTTTAATTCATTATATATCATTTCCCAGAAAGCCTTAATCTTTGGGCACGTCCACCAAAGGTGAAAAAATGTACCTTCAATTTCTTTACATTTCCAACATTTGTTATCGGGCAAGTGATAGATTTTCGCAAGCTTGACTGGGGTTATGTACCACCTGTATATCATTTTCATAATATTCTCTCTTAAGGCATTACATGCCGTAAATTTCATACCTGTGGTCCATAACTGTTCCCAGTCAGCAAACATAATGTTATGACCAACGTCCTGTGCCCATTTAATCATAGCCGATTTTACCGTTTCATCTTGAGTATTCCATTTCAGCAGCAAGTTATACATTCTTGACAAATTCTTAGTATTGGGTTCTAACAATTCTGTTTCTAATTTGGATCTTTCCACCTGGAAGCCAATTTTCCTGTCCAATTTAAATACCTCCATTATTTGATAATAATGAAGCCAGTCTCGCACGTGGTTTTTTCGTTTTTCAAAACTCTGCAATTTCAGTCTATCTCCGTCTTGTTCCAAAATTTCCCAATATTTCGGCCATTTGACCTCCATATTGACCTTTTTCAAGGCTTTCGCTTCCATTGGTGACAGCCACCTTGGGGTTTTATTTTCTAACAAATCCTTATATCTTATCCAAACATTAAACAGCGCTTTCCTGACAATGTGGTTTTTAAATGCTTTATGTGCTTTGACCTTATCATGCCATAAATATGCATGCCATCCAAATACATTATTAAAACCTTCTAGATCCAAAATGTCAGTGTTTTCAAGAAGTAGCCATTCTTTCAACCAGCAAAAGGCTGCTGATTCATAGTACAGTTTAAGGTCTGGCAGGGCAAATCCACCTCTTTCCTTTGCATCCGTTAATATTTTAAATTTTATTCTGGGTTTCTTGCCCTGCCAGACAAATTTAGAAATATCTTTCTGCCACCTCTTGAAACAATCCATTTTGTCCACAATCTGCAAAGTTTGAAACAAAAACAACATTCTGGGCAATACATTCATCTTTATCGCAGCAATACGGCCTAGCAGTGAAAGCTTCAAATTTGACCAAATTTCTAAATCTTTTTTCACTTCTGACCAACATTTTTCATAGTTATCTTTAAATAAGTTCCCATTTTTTGCTGTCATGTTAATCCCCAAGTATTTAACTTTCTTAACCACTGTTAAACCTGTCTCATTCTGAAACCTCTCTCTTTCAAACGGTGTAAAATTTTTCTCTAAAACCTTGGTTTTTGACTTGTTCAATTTAAATCCTGCCACTTGACCAAATTCTTGAATCAGTTCTAAAACCCTTTTAGTACTAGATTCTGGCTCCTGTAACGTCAATACTAAGTCATCTGCAAATGCTCTCAATTTATAGTGTTTAGTTCCGACCTGTATACCTTTAACCATCTGGTCCTTTCTAATCATATTCAGCAGAACCTCCAGGACCGAAATAAAAAGAAGTGGGGAAATTGGGCAACCTTGTCGTGTCCCTTTTTCAATTTTCAGTTCTTCCGTCATGTGATGGGATTATGAGCTGCTTGTGCGTAAAATCGTATTCCCTCAGAGTTTGTTCAAGTCCACAAACCTCTGTCTGTGACTGAGCCCCTCTGACATGGCTCCTCTAGTCACTAGAAGATTCCGACAGTGGTTGCTTTCGTAATCGCTTCCAACATAAAAGCTCCTTAACGGAAACACGTCTTCTGGACTCTCTGCGTGACAGTTTCCGGCGAGGAGTGGGTGTCGCTACAGGAGGTCCGGAAACCTCACCACTGTTTTCGCTGGAAGTATCTCTGAGCCATCCCCCAGCTCCCTTTCCCTCAGTTCAGCTTCTCTCCCCTACTGGTTTCCTGTTCCGCTGCTGAGTCTCTTCCAACCTGTCTGAGCCCTTTCACCTCCCTCAGTTCAGCTTCTCTCCCTTGCTGGTTCCCTCTTCAGCTGCTGAATCTCTTCCAACCTGTCTGAGTCCTTTCACCTCCCTTCCTTCCGATGGCAGTTCCCTGACATCCACCTCCCCTCCAGGGCCCCCTTCACCCCCTCTCGCCCCCTCCTCTACGGGCGGTGAGGAGGCAAAACCCGGAATGAACTTCCTTCATCTTCCGATGTCTCGAACACTTCTCTCCACCTGTTGCGGTTCCTGGTCTCGAAGCACTCCTCCTCCTCCGAGTCCATCTCCCCTTCCCCTTCCGATTCTGGGAATCCTTCCAACTCCTCCTCCTCCTCAGTGGTCCCAAAGTATTCCCTCCGGAACCTCTCCACAGGCTGAGGTTTCCGCGGGAACCTTTGATGGAACATTTCTATCAATACCTCGTCATTGATATCTTTGGCCATTACCCACGTGTTTTCTGACTCCGGTTCTCCTTCCCACGCTACCAAATACTCCACCTGATTCCCCTTCCACCTGGCATCAAGGATTTCTGCCACATGACTGCTGCATTCTCTTTCTTCTATGACCGGTCCCGAGTGGCCATCCCTTCTCGTCCCCTCGTACGGTGACAGTAACGACCTGTGAAATACTGGGTGCAGTTTCATGTGGTTGGGTAACCGGAGCCTGAAAGCCACTGGGTTGACCTGTTGAATGACCTCAAAGGGACCCAACCTCCTGGGTCGTAATTTCTTACAACCTCCTTTGAACGGCACCCCTCGGGTTGACAGCCACACCCTATCTCCAACCCTTATGGTTTCACCTTCCCTTCGGTTCTTGTCTGCCTGCCTCTTGTATTCTTCCTTCGCCCTTTCTAAGTTGAGTTGGAGCTGACGGTGGATTGCTTCCATTTCTTCTACAAAATGCTCGGCTGCCGGTACGTTCCATCTCTCCCCTTCTCCCCCTGGGAAAGCCCTGGGATGACACCCATAATTAGCCAAGAAGGGGCTCATCCCTGTGGACACATTCTCGGCATTGTTGTAGGCAAATTCCGCCAGCGCCAACTTTTCTACCCAGTCATTCTCTCTGTCATTGACATAACACCTCAGGTATTGCTGGAGGACACCGTTTGCTCTTTCCGCCTGCCCGTTGGTTTCAGGGTGCCGGGCAGTCGAAAGTTGACCTCCACCTGCAGTAAGCTCATGAGCTTCCTCCAGAACCTGGAAGTAAATTGTTTTCCTCGGTCTGAGACCACCCTCAATGGCACCCCGTGCAACCTAAAAATGTGTTCTACAAATAACTTCGCTGTCTCTTCCGCCGTGACTGCATGCGAGCAAGCTACAAAGTGGCACATCTTTGTTAGTAGGTCTACCACCACCATGATGGCTGTTTTCCCTTTGGACTTCGGCAGATCAGTCATAAAATCTATCGACACTGCCTCCCAAGGTCGTTCTGGTGTTGGTAAGGGTTCTAATAGCCCCGCCGGCGCCCGCCTTTCCCCTTTGGCTCGCTGGCACTGCTCGCACCCTCTTACATACTCACGTACATCCTCCCTCACCTTAGGCCACCAAAATTCCCTGGTGACCAACCACATGGTTTTGTGTTGCCCAAAATGCCCGCCGTGGGGCTGTCATGCAACTGCTTGAGTACCCTCCCCTTAAGTCTCCTTCAGGGATATACAGTGCCCCTTTGTAATACAAAGCTCCATTTCTTTCCTCGAAACCCCTTGATTCCTCTCCCTCATCCCTAAGACCTCTGAGCTTATTCTGGGCGTATTCATCATTCTCTGTTTCTTCTACCAGTTCTCTTTGTCCCACCAATGCCGCCCCACACACCCAGCGGTCCTCTGGAATGACATGTCTCTCTTCGGGTGCTCCCTCCCCTCCCAATATTCAGGTTTGCGTGAGAGAGCGTCCGCCCTAATGTTCTCTGGGCCTGGCACGTAACAAATCTCAAAGTTAAATTTGGAGAATTCCTGGGCCCATCTCACTTGCCGTTGGTTGAGCACTCGTGCCGTCCTCCAATACTCTAGGTTCTTGTGGTCAGTGCACACTTGCACCTTATGTTGTGCGCCAATTAGCAGGTGCCTCCATCTCCGGAACGCCTCATGAATGGCTAGTAGTTCTCGGTCATACACCGTGTAGTTCCTCTCGGATTTGTTCAGCTTTCGCGAAAAAAAGCACACGGTCTCCACTCTGACTCCTCCTTCCCTGGCTGGAGAAGCACCGCCCCAACCGCTCTGTCTGATGCGTCAGTTTCCACTCTCATCGGTTTTTGTAAATCCACATGCAGGAGCTGTTGTTCCGAGGCGAAGGCCCTTTTAGTTCCTCAAATGCTTGCTCCGCCTCCTCCGTCCAAACGAACTTCTTCTTACTGCTGAGACAGTCCGTAATGGGCGCCGTCAGGTGGGCAAAGTTTGGGATGAACTTACGATAGAAGTTCCCAAACCCTAAAAACCTCTGCACATCCTTCCTTGTTTTGGGTGTTTTCCATTCCAGTACCGCCTGGACCTTGTCGGGATCCATGGCCAACCCCTTGTCAGACAGGCGATACCCCAGGAATTCCACCTCCTTGGTATGAAACTGACACTTCTCCAGTTTCACCCACAGCTGGTTGGCTTGCAGCCTGCTCAACACTTCTCTGACGTCTCTCACATGCTGCTCCTCATTCTCAGAATACACCAACACGTCGTCTAAAAAGGCCACACAATTCTTGTAAAGCAACGGCCCCAGGACGTGGTTCATAAACGATTGAAATGTTGCGGAGCCTGCTTGTAGACCGAAGGGCATAACTAAGTATTCAAATGCCCCTAAAGGGGTGAACATGGTGGTTTTCCATTCATCCCCCTTCCTTATTCTTATCAGGTTGTACGCCCCCCTTAGATCCAGCTTGGTAAAAATCTTTCCCTTCCGCACCCTTGTCAAAATGTCGTCAATCCTGGGCATCGGGAAGGCCACTGGTTCTGACACTGCATTTAAGGCCCTGAAGTCACACACCAGTCTCGGCTTGTTCGTGTTTTTTTGTCCACAAAAACACTGGGCTGCCCCCCACCGCCCTGGACTCTCTGATGAACCCTCTCTTCAGGTTCTTGTCAATGAACTCTCTTAGCTCCTGCATCTCTCTGTCTGACATGGCGTACAGCTTGCCTACAGGGAGCTGTGCCCCAGGGAGCAAATTGATTTGACAGTCAAAGGCTCTATGCGGTGGTAGTTGGTCAGCTTCCCTTTCGCTGAAAACGTCGCGGAGATCTGCGTATTGTCGTGGTACCTTCACGTTCTCCGTCACTTCAGTCCCTGCTAGAGTGGCTTGGGCCCCTGCCAAAACCCTTCCCTCTTTGCAATGTTCTAAGCAATGTGCTGACCCAAAAGAAACCACTCTTTGATGCCAGCCCACCAGCGGATCATGTAACGCTAGCCAGCTCATCCCCAATATAATGGGAGCTCCTCCCAAGGTGGCCACATTAAATGCTATTAGTTCGGTGTGCCTTGCCACCTTCATTATCATTGGGACGGTCTGCAAGCTGACTTCTCCTCCCAACAGCTCCCTGCCATCGATCGTGGTTACCTGCAGGGGGTTGCTTAAAGGGAGCGTCTGTATCTGGTGTTCAGCTGCAAACTCTTTGCTCATGAAATTGCAGGAGCTGCCTGAGTCCAACAGCGCCTTTATCTTTAGAGGGTGTCCGTTTGGCAGCTCTAGTGTCACTTCTATCACTAGGGCGGGTTTAGGAGGTTCTGGAGTGGGCACTTTCACTGCTCTTTGGCCTGGCTGCTGTGCCCGACAATGGCAGCCAGGCGTTGGCTTTTAGTTGCTCCGGTATTTTTCCTCTCTTCCCTCCACAGCTCCCACCATCCCTTGCCATTCCTTCCTCTGGGGGCAGACTCTGGCAAAGTGCCCTGGCTGTTGGCAGAGATAGCATTTCCGGGCGCCTTTTCCATCCTTCTTCCCCCCTCACTGGGCTTTGAAACTGCGCGCGCGCGCGCTGTTCCGATTTCCATCGGCTCTGCCGGCGGGACAGTTGGCTCTGGAATGTCTGGAATGCGGAACTCCTTCCAACGTTCCCCTTTCCCTTCCCGCCTCTCCAATGCTCTCGCCTCCTGGCGCGCTCCTATGGCCAGCGCTGATTTGGTCAGCTGGTCCATAGACTCCGCCCTGGGCGCCCGGGAAAGTTCATCTTTCACAGCCGAAGAAAGCCCTTCTTCAAAGAGCATTTGAATGGGTTCCGCCGATAAGTCCCACCCCAATCTGTGTATCAGCATGGTGAACTCAGTCCAGTACTCACGTACAGATCGGCTCCCCTGTTTGCAAGCCATTAACTGTCTGCGCACCACTCCCTTTTCAATATCGCTGGAAAACATCAAATCCATGGCGCGAAAGAACTTCATTGTGTCCTTTAGGACGTCACTATGCGCTGCCATCAGGGGTCTCACCCAGTCTCTCGCCCCCTTTTCAAGATGCCCAATCACAAAAGCCACTCGTGATTCCTCATCAGGGAAATCATCAAACTGCAGATTGAGGGCATATTGCATTTCTGTCCGAAAGCTATGATAGTCTTTGGGCTCCCCCCCAAATTTCTGCACCAATCCTGGTACCTTTCTGGCGAGCTGGGTGGCTTTCTCCCTTTGTCTGCATCTTGCGCCCTCCTCTCCTCCAGCCTCGCCGTCTGCAGCGCCAGCTGGACCTCCAACACCCGGTACCTTTCTTCCAGGCTTGGACCCGCTCCAGCCCCTGCTTCTCCGGTTCCTGCTGGGTTGCTCATTATGCCTTCTCCTGCACAAGCTGCGTTCAAAGACTGTCGGAATGCTGTGATGGGATTATGAGCTGCTTGTGCGTAAAATCGTATTCCCTCAGAGTTTGTTCAAGTCCACAAACCTCTGTCTGTGACTGAGCCCCTCTGACATGGCTCCTCTAGTCACTAGAAGATTCCGACAGTGGTTGCTTTCGTAATCGCTTCCAACATAAAAGCTCCTTAACGGAAACACGTCTTCTGGACTCTCTGCGTGACAGTTTCCGGCGAGGAGTGGGTGTCGCTACAGGAGGTCCGGAAACCTCACCACTGTTTTCGCTGGAAGTATCTCTGAGCCATCCCCCCAGCTCCCTTTCCCTCAGTTCAGCTTCTCTCCCCTACTGGTTTCCTGTTCCGCTGCTGAGTCTCTTCCAACCTGTCTGAGCCCTTTCACCTCCCTCAGTTCAGCTTCTCTCCCCTTGCTGGTTCCCTCTTCAGCTGCTGAATCTCTTCCAACCTGTCTGAGTCCTTTCACCTCCCTTCCTTCCGATGGCAGTTCCCTGACACGTCACAACGTTATTTACAATTAGTTTAGCCTTTTGTTCTGAATAAATTGCACTTATACCATTCTCAAAACCTTGGCCTACCCCCATACCCTGAAGATTCTTCTTCATAAAATTCCAAGAAATATTGTCAAAGGCTTTCTCCGTGTCTACAAATATCAACACTGCTTTAGTGTTTATATTCACTTCTAATTTCTCCAAAATATCAATTATATTCCTCAAATTATCAGACAAATGTATTCCTGGGAGAAAGCCCGCTTGGTCTTTATGAATCTCTTCCAACAGCACTTTTTTAAATCTCTTAGCCAAAATATCTGCAAAAATTTTGTAATCCACATTAAGTAATGATATAGGGCGGTAGTTCTTAAGTTGTGTCTTTTCAATCTCTGTTTTTGGTACAAGTGTAATATATGCTTCTTTCCACGACTCTGGTGCCCTCTTCCCCTCCATAATTTCGTTGCAGACCTCTTTCAAAGGTTGAATTAGCCATTCTTTTAAAGATCTGTAGTATCTAGAGGTCAAACCGTCTGGTCCTGGAGATTTACCCAATTGCATATTTTGAATGGCACCTTCTAATTCCTGTTCAGTTATTCTGTCATTCAAAATTAGTCTCTTTTCTTGAGATATTTTTGTAGTCCATTTGTTTTCAAAAATTGGTCTAAATCTGTTTCTTTCACTGGCCCTTGAGTATATAGTCTTTTAAAATACTTCTGGAAACAACTTCTAATCTCCGCAGGGTTCTGTATATTCCTTCCTTCCACTTCCGCAGATTCACTTGCTTTTCCTTCAAATCTATCACAGACAGGGTTAGTTATTGGTCTTCCAATTGTTTGTGCAGTGTTGGTAATTCCTCTTGAACCTCTTTAACTTCAGTAGCAGAAGTTGTAGCAATTTCTTTAGCCTCTTCAGCAATCTGGCGTATTGAGGCCGATTCTCTAATAATTTCTGCATAGTCTCTGTGTTAGTATTTACTTTTTGGCCCAAATTATTTATACTTGCTGTATTCTGGTTAATACTTGCTGTATTCTGGTTAATACTTGCTGTATTCTGGTTAATACTTATTGTATTTTGATCAATCTTATCAGATGCCTCTGCTACTTGTTGACTTATTCTATTCAAAGATTCATTAACTTTGGCCAAAACTTGAGCAAAGGATTCCTCACTTGTTGTGCTTTTTACCTTTAATTGTGCCGATGAGGCTATTGTTGAGGTTCCAGAAGGGCCTGAGGCCGAAGATCTCCTTTGTAATCCTTCTTCTGTGCGAAGAGGCCTCCCCGATCTTGTAGTCGAAGCATCCGCCTTCTCTTTCCCATCTGCCATTCCTTAGATAATGCCAAGGTCAGTCACGTATTTGAAATTGAACAGTGGAAATTTCCTGCCAAGCAGTGTGAGAACTCCTCGAGTCTGCTACAGTTTCAGTTGTAACAAATTGTAACAGTTCCAAGTTCCACTAGGGGGACACTGTAACAGTCATAAAAGTTCTTGGATACTTTAATTTCTTTTTTTTTTTTTTAAGCCCCCCTAGTTTATTCAAGACGAAAACAGTCTATTCACAATTTTTAACTTAGGACCAGGAGATATATATTCACATAAATTGTCCAAACTTTTATTTCTTGTGCAGGACTAGCTGTCAAAATATATTACAAGACAGTACCTCTCTTTCTTTCCTGAGATCTGGAGATCCTTTCCCAGGGAATTGAGTGGTGGTTCGATCCCTTCTTTTCCACTCTTTATGAAGAAATCACATCCACAATTCTCCCCCCTTTTCCCTCAATTTAAAAAGGGAAAAGTCCAGGTTGGATGATTGGATTAAAGTCCGCTAAAACGTACTTTTCAATTGTTTCCGCTTTCAAGTTCAATGCTTTATTTTATCTACAAAGAAAGAGGCTGACTTCCTTTTTAAACCTCTTTCCGTTTTCGGCCAGATTCCAGTTTTGTACAGTTCCAATTTTAATTGTATCCTACTCACGGATCGTTGATTTTCAGGTCCGGATTTTAAGGAAGAAAGGCAGCGCTCTCCGATCAACAG